ATACCTACTTCCAAATCGATAAAAAAAGACAATTTCAGGAAAACTCTTTGTCCTAAAACCCCAAGAGCTTTAATAAAATAACAATCAAAGGCATGAAAGCATGTCTAGAACAAATGATTTGATAAAATAAATGGTCTGTTGCCAACTAATATTAAGGCCTGTAATAGCCAGGATTAACGTCATAAAGACTAGTGTAAATAGAGCGCTTATGTACTTTGTTAGGCAATGTGGATATTTGGGCTTGTAACAGTTTCAATACACCCTGAACTGAATAACTTAATGGAAAAAAACACTGAAGATACTAACAGGGTGTGACAAGAGCTGCAGAGTAATGCGAATGCATTGATCTGTTATAAAGTCCAGCCGCCTCTAACTGTAACGAGTACATGTGAGTAGATTGATGTGGATTCATTACACTTTTTTTTTTAAATTATATAAAATATTATAACAAATTATATATAATTTTGAAATACAATTATATAAATATATTTTTATATTACTTAATATTTAAAAAAAAAATAAAATATATAGCATGTCTAGAACAAATGATTTGATAAAATAAATGGTCTGTTGCCAACTAATATTAAGGCCTGTAATAGCCTGGATTAACGTCATAAAGACTAGTGTAAATAGAGCGCTTATGTACTTTGTTGTATTTTTGTGGATGGCAAATGTGTGATATTTTACTTCATGATTTAAGTCAAAATATATATGGGTAACAAAACAGCTGTCAATATGGACATGAGAGTGAAACAAAAACCTCAATGTGATCAAAATGCAGTATAAAAGTTTCATATGAGCATTGAATTGCACTTTATTTTTAACCTGTACATCTGTCAAAACCACACAGACGGTTATAAAGCTTTGAGTGTGAGCACTCTTTGACACCATCTATCAATCACAATACACACAAAGGCGCAATATGAAACACTCCTCCTAAAAGCCACACAGTGCTATTAGAGTCTCTCCATTGATAAAACACACATGTGCACCAGATAACCATCAAACCGAATGCAACAATTGAGATACTGCAAAATACGAAACAAAGAAAACATTCCCTGCTTATTTGCAGGAGATATCAAAGTTACTACAGCAAAAAGTAACTTCTCAGCAATACGCAAGATAACTTGTTAAGCATGCATTTCATCACACAGCTGGAAATGTGATGGATGTTTTCTTTGTAAATCCCCCTTGAGGCCCATTACACATTTCTAGGGTCATGTTTAGGGCCTGTTACAGATGAACATGAAGAATGAAGAAAAGTGGGCAGCAGTATTATTACTGGGTTGAATTAAAAACCTTATTTCTTATTCAAATCTTTCATTCAACTACAAGTCTGTTTGATTTTTTTTTACAATACAATACTGCTGATGTCATACAGTACCAAGCGTCAATTGCAACCACTGTATTAATCAAAGAAGCAGCTGCTCTACAAGTGTAATATGCCACTGAATGAATCAAAAACTAACTTGGGGGTATATTGGGGGAAACATGTCCTCTGCAACGGATATGGACATGGTTGAACCTGAGCTAATCAGCAAACAACATCCTCTGGAAGTCTCTTCACAAACATAACTCTAGCATTCGAAACAAACAGCAAGATTTTATCTCTGGAAGCAACATGAAACTCATCCAGAGGGCAAAAACCATGTAAGCGAGGTCTTATAACTCACAGTCAAGAGTAGGGCTGC